CCTTTTACATTTTTTTCTTCTCTCTTTCTTGCTCTTTTCTTCTCTTTCCTCCTCACTCTCTCTCCAGCCCCTTCATCCCATGGGTTTCGTCTTTTGACTAATTTTTATGGGTTCAATACAATGGCTACAGAAACTAAAATTTTGTTTTCTCATATACAACTTTTCACCCAAAGCTTGCAAAACCCACCACTCAATCTCATCCTTGACAATAATAATAATAATTAAATATATATTAAAGTTATCAATATAGATAAATTTACACATACCCAACCAAATTTGTATTTCTTCATAGAAAACCACTCAATCAAGGATAGAAACAATTAAATTTAAAATATCATCAAAATGAATTAAATAGCTCAACTTGTGAAGAATAATAAACATATATATATAAATCAACTTCCATGTAAACAAAGATATGAATTCCTCTACCTTTACCATAATCTAGTGAAAAATTCTCTTTTCCCTCTTTTCTATCTTCCTCTTCTTCTCCGTCTTTTCTTCTTCTAGGGCTGAAAAATCCCTCCTTTGTTTCTATTTGTATTTTTATTTTTTTTCTTTTTCTTGTCCATGCAAATCTCTAGACAACGTGTCACTTAGATATAAATGTGATTTTCCCCTCTTCATGACTCATGCGTGTGTGTGTCAATTAGTAACAGCCTCCTTTGGAAGCATTTAGAATAAAGTGTATTACTAGATATCTACATACATGGGTGGGTGGAATATGTACTTGACCTGGTCAATAACTTACCCATATATATAAATAAATACTTGGTCAAACTTTAAAATAAAACATAAGTATATCAATATATATTAGAACCATCACACCACTTCCACCATTTATTACCTTCAGCACCAATGACCTTAGTAGACACCCATTCTCTAGTATCACACATATAACCACACACACGTACACATGGAATATTATCATTTTTATTATTTATTTTCTTACCATTGGCTGTCACCAACTTAATAAGTTTTGACACCAACTATTAACTTCACCATACAAACTACTACATAAAATATTCCATAAATTATGTCTAATAAAAATTAAATTATGCTAATAAAAATAATTATGTATTGGGGCCTTACAAATCTTCCCCCCTTAAGTAATTTCGTCCTCGAAATTAAAATGCAAGAAACATACCAAATAAGTGAGGATATTGCATTCGCATAACTTCTTCACTTTCCCAAGTCGCTTCTTCAATCGTATGACCCCTCCACAATAACTTTACCAGTGATATAGTTTTATTCTGTAGCACTTGCTCCCGGCGATCCACAATCTGTACCGGTTCCTCTACATAAGTCAAATCTTCCTTCAACTCTATCGGTTCTGCAACTAAAACATGAGATGGATCCGATATATACTTTCGAAGCATAGACACATGGAAAACATCATGCAATCTTGATAATTCTTTTGGTAATTCCAACCGATACGCCACTGCTCCTATTCGTTCCAGAATCTTGTAAGGTCCAATGTATTTGGGACTTAACTTACCTTTCTTTCCAAACCTCATAATACCTTTCCAAGGAGAAATACGAAGAAAAATAAAATCACCAACTTCAAATTCCAAATCTCTTCTTTTTCGCACATCTACATAACTTTTCTGTCTATCCTGTGCCACTTTCATACGCTGCTGAATTAGCTTCACTTTTTCTGTTGTAAGTTCAATCAATTCTGGACCCAATAACTTTCTTTCCCCCACCTCATCCCAACACAATGGAGTTCTACATTTTCTCCCATACAAAGCTTCATACGGTGCCATTCCAATAGTAGACTGATAACTATTATTATAGGCAAATTCAATCAACGGTAAATAATCATCCCAATTACCTTTGAAATCCAACACACAAGCTCTCAACATATCTTCCAAAATCTGAATAGTTCGTTCTGACTGCCCATCTGTCTGCGGGTGAAAAGCTGTACTAAACTTCAGAGAAATTTTCATGGCTTCATGCAAACTATACCAAAATCTCGAAGTGAACTTCGGATCCCTGTCACAAACAATAGAAACTGGAGCCCCATGTAAACATATGATCACATCAACATACAAACGAGCATATTCCTTTGTAGAATAAGTAGTTTTTACTGCCAGAAAGTGAGCTGATTTCGTCAATCGATCAACTATCACCCAAATAGAGTCATGTCCTCGTTTTGATCTTGGAAGTCCCGTCACAAAATCCATGGTTACATGCTCCCATTTCCACTGTGGAACTGGTAATGGCTGCAACAATCCCGCTGGTTTCTGATGTTCAGCTTTCACTCGTTGACATATCAAACACTTTGCTACAAATTCTGCAATTTCACGCTTCATATTGTTCCACCAATAGTATTCTTTCAAATCCCTGTACATTTTAGTACTCCCCGGATGCATAGTATATATAGAACTGTGGGCTTCATCTAAAATATCTTTCTTCAAGGAAACATCATTTGGAACACAAATTCGACTTTTAAAATACAAAATCCCATCATCCCTAACTATAAATTCAGTTTGCATACCTTCTTGAGCTTCTTTTCTTTTCTTATCCAGGAATACGTCATGTATTTGCAGCTCTTTAATTCTATCCAGCAACAAAGGTCTCACCGTAACATGTGCAAACAATGCTCCTTTGTTAGTAACTGTCAATTCAACTCCCATCAATCTCAATTCCATAACATTTGCCACCCGTGTACACTGTACACAAGATAGTCTCCCTGAAGACTTCCTACTCAAGGCATCTGCTACTACATTGGCTTTTCCAGGATGATGGTGGATATTACAATCATAATCTTTGATTAACTCCATCCAACGCCTCTGTCTCAAATTTAAATCCTTCTGTGTAAACAAATACTTCAAACTCTGATGATCTGTAAATATTTCACAAAGTTCACCATACAGATAATGCCTCCACAATTTTAAAGCAAAAACAATAGCAGCTAACTCCAAGTCATGTGTAGGATAATTCAATTCATGATTCTTCAATTGTCTAGAAGCATATGCAATTACTTTACCATTTTGCATCAAAACACATCCCAGACCCTGATGTGAAGCATCAGTGTAAATCACAAAACCTTCACCACCACACGGAATAGTTAACACTGGGGCTGACGTTAACTTTTTCTTCAATTCTTCAAAACTTCTTTGGCATTCCTCACCCCACACAAACTTTACTTCTTTCCGGGTCAACTTTGTCAATGGCAATGCGATACTAGAAAACCCTTGGATGAACCTCCGGTAATAACCTGCTAATCCCAGAAAACTTCTGACTTCTGTCACATTAGTAGGCCTTTCCCATTTCACCACTGCTTCCACTTTTGATGGGTCAACATAAATACCATCCCCAGATACTACATGCCCCAAAAAGACAACTTTATCAAGCCAAAACTCACATTTGCTGAACTTGGCAAAGAGTTGTTTTTCCCGTAACATCTGTAACACAATTCTTAAATGCTTTTCATGTTCATCCACACTCCGAGAATATATCAAAATATCATCGATGAAGACAATAACAAAAGAATCAACGTACCGATGAAATACTCGATTCATTAAATCCATAAACACCGCTGGAGCATTGGTTAACCCAAAAGGCATTACCAAAAACTCATAATGACCATATCGAGTTCGAAAAGCAGTTTTCGAAATATCACCATCCTTTACCTTCAACTGGTGATATCCTGACCTCAAATCAATCTTAGAAAACACCTTTGCCCCTTGCAACTGATCAAACAGATCATCAATTCGTGGCAATGGATACTTATTTATGATGGTCACTTTATTTAACTGTCTGTAGTCAATACACAACCGCATAGTACCATCCTTCTTCTTCACAAATAACACCGGTGCACCCCACGGTGAAATACTAGGTCGAATGAATCCTTTATCTAGTAAATCTTGCAACTGTATCTTCAACTCTTTCAATTCTGTCGGTGCCATTCGATACGGAGCAATAGAAATTGGAGTTGTTCCTGGTACCAACTCAATGGTAAAATCTACCTCCTTGTCCACTGGCAACCCTGGTAATTCTTCTGGAAACACATCTGTGAATTCCCTTACCACTGGTACATTTTCAAGTGTCATATCTTTATTTTCAGTATCAACCACATAAGCCAATTAACCCTGACACCCTTTCTTCAACAACTTCCTGGTTTGTATAGCTGAAATGAGACAGTTTGGAATAACATTTCTTTCTCCTGTAAATCTAAATTCTGGCTCCCCTGGTATCTGAAAAATAACTTCTTTCCGAAAACAGTCTATTGAAGCATGATATGCAGATAGCCAATTCATACCCAAAATGATATCAAAATCTGGAATACCCAACGGTATCAAATTTACCTTTAACTGTCTATCTCCCAATTGTAACACACAATCCCGGTATTCATTTGCAACCACTACCACTTCTCCCATTGGTGTAGAAATAAACAATTTACTGTCTAATGATGAAAGTGGTCTACCCAAATGCATAGCAATAGATGATGCAACAAATGAATGGGTTGAGCCAGGATCAATAAGCACAGTAACATTTCTATCCAAAATAGAAAGTGTACCTGTCACCACTTCTGGTGTTGCTTGAGCATCCTGAAGTGTCATAGCAAACACTCTTCCCTGGGCTTGTGAACCACTTGTAACACCCTTACCTCCTCTTGATGAGTTCCCATGTGCAAAACCTCTACCAGAACCAGCAACACTGCCCACTGAGGTCATTCCTGTCAACATAGGACAATCTCTCCTCTGATGACCCGGCTGATGGCAATGATAGCACTCTTTTGCTTTCAAGATTGGACAATCCTTCTTCTGGTGACCTTCCTTTCCGCACTGAAAACACCCCCTGCCAGTACCACGTCCTCCAAAACTACCTTGTTGTACAGATTGTTATTCGGAAAACCCTTGACCTCTTCCAATACTTGATGTCTGGCCTTGAGATTCACCACCCCTTCCCCTTCCATACCGCGACCTTTGACTTTTTGGACTTGCAATTCCTTCACCTCCTCTTGACTGTGACGGCTCAGATCTATTTCTTTTGTATTATTCCCTTCTTTCTTGCAATTCTTTCACATCCCTTTCGGCAATCATGGCTTTATTCACAAGTCTGTTGTAATCTGTTTCCTCAAACACTGAAACTCTAGACTTAATAGCTGCTTCTAAACCATCCTGAAATTTTGTACATTTATCTTCTTCATTCTGTACAAACTTGGGTGCGAACCTCGATAAAGCTGTAAACTTAACTTCATAATCAACCACAGACATTCTATCTTGTTTTAGGAGAATAAACTCCCGTTCCTTCTCTTTTCTGTAAATTGGAGGGAAATATTTCTCATAAAAAGCTTTAACAAATGGATTCCAGAATATCACCTCTTTCTCTCTTGGAGTGAGCAACAAATGTTTTGTCGTGTCCCACCAATAACTAGCTTCATTTTTGAACATAAATGTAGCTAAGTTTACCTTCTGATCTTCTGCTGCACCCATCACTGCAAATATCGATTCCATTCTTCTTACCCACCCCTCTGCTTCTTCTGGTTTGGTAGTACCTGAAAATTCTGGGGGTGTTAACTTGATAAACCTCTCATACTCAGAGCCTTTCTTCCATTTCTGTTGTCTTTCTAGCCTTTCTTGTATCATCATTTGACTATAAATAGTTTGTTTTGTTCTGCCAAGTCTATTATAGCCTTTTCCATTTTCTGCATACCAGTTAAGCACTCCTGTTCTCTTCTCATACCACCCTGCATAGGTTGTTCTACTTCAGCCTCAACAGGAACATAAGTGGCTTCACCCTCAGTTCCATGATAACCACTTTCCCTTTCCATTTCTTTTTATCTGCAATGAATCTCAAATATAACAACATATATATGATACATAATCACCACTTATATCTGTTAGTATAACATTAAGTCAAATAAATGACTCTACTACACACTTCTTACTGCCACTGCCAGTCTAGACTCTTATGACCTCCAGAACCTAGAAAACCTAGGCTCTGATACCAAAAGTTGACACACCCCAACCCAATTTACATTATTAAACAAATTGAATAAATTGGAATGCATCTAACCATCTGCATTAACCTCCTTCAAATATAACGTCATCCTACATCAGAGCACCTGTTTAACAGTTTACAATTCAAAAACTACCTATAGGCCTGTTATGCAAATTCTAACAAACAAAAAATATTAATGGCAACTTATACTATTAAATTCTATTACAATAGTTACATATTAAACAAAAGACGTTCCATTGTTCTTTTTCCCATTCCCACTCAAAAATTCTAGACCTGGCAGTAGCGACCCAACCTTGTACCTGAAAAAAATATAGATATGGAAGGAGTGAGCTTAAAGCCTAGTGAATGCAACACTACTACATTAGAGTAATTTTAAACAACTATTATCTGATAGCTTCAATAAAACTTCATTAACATATTACATGCATTAAACTATAGTACTCTCTTTCTAGGCCAGAGTATGGACCTTATATATTATAGTACTCTCCTTCTAGGCCAGAGTATGGACCTTATTTAAATATGGTACTCTCTTTCCAGGCCAGAGTATGGACCTCATTTAAAGTACTCTCTTTCCAGGCCAGAGTATGGACCTTATATATATATATATATAGATGCATCTTCATTTCACATAAATGACTTCAATACTTCAATTTAACACATTCAAGTGTCAAACTTTCAGTGAATACACTCACCTTGACTACTTCCCAAGTTATTCACTTATCCTTTGATAGGGTCGAAGTTGTTTGCTCTTTCTCCTTGCCTGAACAATAGTATAACTATGTCATATTCATTTCTAAATATAATTGAACGACAATTATCAACTTCATAACAAATCCCAATTCCACACACAATTATAGTAGAAAGTATAACAAGACTATTATATTAACTTCAGCTCCACAATTTCTTCAACTAACAAGTACTTGAATTTAAATATTATAGTACTGGAATCAAGTAAAATAAATAAAATAGATGTAATTGTAGGTAGAACCATTTAACCAAATTGTCCATGGAAATACCACACAATAAACCTTCAATAGAAAAATTCTCTATCTTTAATATTGATAACCACAATTCCAAATAGAAATCTCGCCTCCTTCCTTTTACATTTTTTTCTTCTCTCTTTCTTGCTCTTTTCTTCTCTTTCCTCCTCACTCTCTCTCCAGCCCCTTCATCCCATGGGTTTCGTCTTTTGACTAATTTTTATGGGTTCAATACAATGGCTACAGAAACTAAAATTTTGTTTTCTCATATACAACTTTTCACCCAAAGCTTGCAAAACCCACCACTCAATCTCATCCTTGACAATAATAATAATAATTAAATATATATTAAAGTTATCAATATAGATAAATTTACACATACCCAACCAAATTTGTATTTCTTCATAGAAAACCACTCAATCAAGGATAGAAACAATTAAATTTAAAATATCATCAAAATGAATTAAATAGCTCAACTTGTGAAGAATAATAAACATATATATATAAATCAACTTCCATGTAAACAAAGATATGAATTCCTCTACCTTTACCATAATCTAGTGAAAAATTCTCTTTTCCCTCTTTTCTATCTTCCTCTTCTTCTCCGTCTTTTCTTCTTCTAGGGCTGAAAAATCCCTCCTTTGTTTCTATTTGTATTTTTATTTTTTTTCTTTTTCTTGTCCATGCAAATCTCTAGACAACGTGTCACTTAGATATAAATGTGATTTTCCCCTCTTCATGACTCATGCGTGTGTGTGTCAATTAGTAACAGCCTCCTTTGGAAGCATTTAGAATAAAGTGTATTACTAGATATCTACATACATGGGTGGGTGGAATATGTACTTGACCTGGTCAATAACTTACCCATATATATAAATAAATACTTGGTCAAACTTTAAAATAAAACATAAGTATATCAATATATATTAGAACCATCACACCACTTCCACCATTTATTACCTTCAGCACCAATGACCTTAGTAGACACCCATTCTCTAGTATCACACATATAACCACACACACGTACACATGGAATATTATCATTTTTATTATTTATTTTCTTACCATTGGCTGTCACCAACTTAATAAGTTTTGACACCAACTATTAACTTCACCATACAAACTACTACATAAAATATTCCATAAATTATGTCTAATAAAAATTAAATTATGCTAATAAAAATAATTATGTATTGGGGCCTTACATATTATGTCACTAAACCATTTTAATGTATAAAGATTAAATTTTTTAAAGAAAATGAGACTTTTGAGTTAAACTTATTCGAGTTTCCTTTGAGATCACGGAGAGTGTTCTAATGAGTAAAGATTGAATTAGTGAATAAAATTATCTCAATTAAGGTAGCTATTATGTCACTAGGCCATTTTAATGTATAAAGATTGAATCTTTGAAAGAAAATGAGAGTTTTGTGTTAAACTTATTCGACTTCCCTATGAAGTCGGGACGAGTGTTTTAATGACAAAAGACTGAATCTTTGAATAAGAGGTACAAAGATTGAATTTGTGAAAGAAAATGAGAGGTTTGAGTTTAACTTATTCGAGTTCCCTGCGAAGAGTGTTTTAATAACTAAAGATTGAATCTTTGAATGAAAAGACCTCAATCAAGGTACCTATTATGTCACTAGTCCTTTTTTTTGTACAAATATTTAATCTTTGAAAGAGAGAGAGATTTTTGAGTTAAACTTGTTTGAATTCCCTTGGACGTCCTAAAGAGTATTTTAATGAGAAAAGATTGAATCTTTGAATGAAAAATTCTCAATCAAGGTACCTATTATATCGCTAGACCTTTTAAAGTATAAAGATTGAGTCTTTGAAAGAAAATTAGAGTTTTGAGTTAAACTTATTCGAATTCCCTTTGACGTCCCGAAAAGTGTTTTAATGAGCAAAGGTTGAATCTTTGAATGAAATTACTTCTAACAAGGTACCAATTATGTCTCTAGACCATTTTAATGTATGAAGATTGAATCTTTGAAAGAAAATGAGAGTTTTGAGTTCAACTTCTTCGAGTTCACTATGTAGTCGTGAATTGTGTTTTAGGGACAAAAGATTGAATCATTGAATGAAATTACTTCAATCAAGATACCAGTTATGTCACTAGACAATTTTAATCTACAAAGATTGAATCTTTGAACGAAAATGATAGTTTTGAGGAAAACTTGTTCAAGTTCCCTATGAAGTCGCGAAGTGTGTTTTAATGACTGCAGATTGAATCTTTGAATGAAAATACCTCAATTAAGGTACCAATTACGTCACAAGACCTTTTTAATGGGTAAAGATCGAGTCTTTAAAAGAAAGCGAGGGTTTTAAGTTAAACTTATTCGAGTTCCCTTTGACGTCTCGAAGAGTGTTTAAAAGAGTAAGGATTGAATCTTTGAATGAGAATTCCTCAATCAAGCTACCAATGTAAAGATTGAATCTCTGAGTGAAATTAACACAATCAAGGTAACTACTATGTCACTAGACCTTATTAATGTATAGCGATTCAATCTTTGAAAGAAAACGACAATTTTAAGTTTAACTTGTTCGAATTCCTTATGAAGTGGCGAAGAGTGTTTTAAAGTCTAAAGATTGAATCTTTGAATGAAAATACCTTAATCAAGGTATTAATTATGTCACTAGACCTTTTTAATGTATAAAGAATAAATCTTAGAAAGAAAATGAGAGTTTTGAGTTAAACTTATTCGAGTTCCCTTTGACGTAACGGAGAGTGTTTTAATGTGTAAAGATTGAATCCTTGAATGAAATTACCTCAATCAAGGTACCTATTATGTCAATGGACCTTTTTAATGTATAAAGATTTAATCTTTGATTTAAAATGAGAATTTTGAGTTTAACCTATTCGAGTTCCCTAAGAAGTCGCGAAGAGTGTTTTAATGACCATAGATTGAATCCTTGAATGAAAATACCTCAATCAAGGTACTAATTTTGTCACTAGAACTTTTTAATGAATAAAGATTGAATCTTTAAAAGAAAATGAGAGTTTGGAGTTAAACTTATTCGAGTTCCCTTTTACGCCCCGAAGTGTGTTTAAATGAGTACAGATTGAATCTTTGAATGAAAATTCCTCACTCAAGGTACCTATTATGTCACTAGACCATTTTAATGTACAAAGATTAAATCTTTGAACGAAAATGAGAGTTTTGAGTTAAACTTATTCGAGTTCCCTTTAATATCACGAAGAGTGTTTTAATTAGTAAAGATTGAATATATGAAAGAAATTACCTCAATCACGGTACCGATTATGCCACATGACCTTTTTAATGTATAAAGAATGAATCTTTGAAAGAAAAAGGGAGTTTCGAGTGTAACTTATTTGAGTTCCTAACGTAATCTCGTAGAATGCTTTAATGACTAAAGATTGAATCCTTGAATGGAAATACCTCAATCAAGGTGCCTATTATGTCACTTGACCTTTTAAATGTATAAAGATTAAATCTTTGGAATAAAATGAGAGTTTTAAGTTAAACTTATAATAGTTCCCTTCGACGTCACGAAGGGTGTATTAATGAGTAAAGATTGAATCTTTGAGCGAAATTACCTCAATCACGATACCTATTATGTCACAAGACCTTTTTAATGTATAACGGTTGAATCTTTGAAAGAAAATGAGAGTTTTGAGTTTAACTTATTCGAGTACCCTTTGAAGTCGCGAAGAGTGTTTTAATGACTAAAAATTGAATCTTTGAATGAAAATAGCTCAACCAAGGTACCTATTGTGTCATTAGAGCTTCTTAATGTATAAAGATTGAATCTTTGAAAGAAAATGAGAGTTTTGAGTTAAACTTATTCGAGGTCCCTTTGACGTCCCAAA